CATTCTCCAAGATCCATCTCTTTTTTGCACAGGCGAAATCGGTGAGCTGAATGGGGATGTGATGGCAATCACCACCCCTGCATCCTTCAAGACCTTGATGGTGGCAGTAATCTCTGCAATCCCTCCAGGAATGCGGTACTGCTTTTGGTTTACTATTTTCCTAGGTAAGGGCAGTTCTAATGGCTTCTACTTGGCTTTTCCTACCATAATAGCCCTTAGTCCACTAGTCAGAGATTCAGTGTAGGGGTTCTGCCAGTTGCTAAGCATATTTATTCCAATTATGCATTCTGGAACTGGGAAAGTCACTACAGGACAAGTTTGGAAACCCACTGGACCCACTGTGAGACGAACCTGAGTTAAGACTTCATTAATAACCTGACCTCTGTATGCCCCTATTCTGACTGGTGGGCCAAAGCAACGTTTTGGGTCTCCCGGAATTAGTGTCAGTTCAGGAAAAAACCAAAAAACCAAACCTGTTGCCGTCGAATCAATTCCGACTCATAGCGACTCTAGAACAGAGTAAAAATCCCTCATAGGGTTTCCAAGGAGCGCCTGGTGAATCTGAACTGCTGACCTCTTGGTTAACAGCCGTAGCTCTTAACCCCTACACCATCAGCATTTCTAGTAATCCCCAAAAAGTCTGATTATTTCCTTTTCCTCAAATGGACAGTCATTGTCATAAAGCGCAATAGATCCCTTTGGAAAGGCTGGAAAAAAGATTAACAACAAAAATTTTTGGCAGTGTGGTGGGGTCCTCTCTCAAGGGGACTTGGCACTGTAGTGGGATCTTTCCTCAAGGGGACTCAGCCTTCCCGTCATTCCAGGTGCGTGGGTCTATAAACTGGCTCAAGTCTGGAAACTGACTGAGGAGCCATGTCTCTCTATTTTGGCAATTCGAGTTAAGACTGCTGTTCACTTGACCTAGCATTCTTCCACTTGTACAGATCAAGAAAATATTTAGTAGACTTCCCATCTATTTCACTCCCGGGGACACCATGACTAAGTAGCCAATGCCATAAGTCCATATAAGTCAGACTATTCTGAATACTGCTGTGACTCCGCTGTCCATTACGGTAACCATGCCCACCCTTGTCTTTGTTGACTAAGTGCCACCACTTGGCCCCTACCACCACAGGATCCAATAGCCCCATTGTAGTTAGGTGTCTTAATTTATTTAGGGCAGTTCTCACTGTCAAGTCTAACTTACATAAAATACCAATCACAGCAGTCTTCAAGGATGCTGGAGTTCCCTTCACAAATTTGTTCCTCATCATTGTGGTAAAAGGATGTGCTCTGGGCACTCCACGTGTGGGTCTGTGGGTCTAACCTGATAAATCCACTCTAACATGCCAATTTCCCTAAGCCTTTGGATACCTTCTTCTACAGTATTCCAAGGCAGGTACTTCTGGTACTTCAGTTTGATTTATTGTAGGCCACCACGTAATCCATGCTTCAGCAAACCAACCAAATAAACTATTAGATCCTTTCCTAACCTCTCAAATTGAAACACTGAATGAAGAATCTGTGCTTAATGGGCGCGTATCAATAAACTCAGAGTGATCCAACGTAATGTTCTTTGCACCATTATCCCACACGCCAACAGCCATTCCCACACATACTCCCTAGGTTTCTGTTTATACATATTAGAAAAGTCAAGCAGTTCTTTTGGAGGGTAGTGTATCTTCTCTTGGGTCACATTCCGTATTTCACCTTTTGGGGCTCACTAGGACTTAAATCTAATTATAGGTCTACAAGCAAAAATGGGTGGTGGGGATGTGTTTTGAGAACATTTAGCAGTATCTTGTAAGGCATCTATCTGCCTCAGGTGATGCCCCAGGCAGTGATTCAGATGCCTCCCCAGGCACTGACTCAGACATCGCCCCAGTTGGTATCTCAGACAAAGGCTCTTCAGACACATCTGGGTTAATGTCATCAGATGGGGGTGGTGAGGCTAATGATTTTGTTGGCAGGTATGATTCAGTGGAATTTAGGGGCTCAGTGTCCCCAGCTTCCTGATTATCTGTCCCTATGTCCCCAATGCAAATTCCAGGATCCCGTTTCTTCCCAATCAATGCCCTCACTTTAACTTCAGACACCATTCAAGGCTGGGAATTCAATTGACACTGTAATTTAGCCACTCTTACGATAAGACTCTGGGTTTCGTTTTTGGCAATATTAACTCTGTTGCTACATGAAATAACGCTTTCTTTCAGAGCACAAGTGGCAACTTGGAGGTTGTTTCTGTGGCACTTCAGCTTTGAATACGAAGCCCTGAGCTCATCTCTTTCTTTTCATCACTTTGTCTAGCAAAAGTAGGACCAATCAATCAATTTCCTTATACTTCTCATTCTGACAAAACTGTAGAAAAGTATCAAACATGCGATCACCCAGAGCATTGCCTCTCAACAATACTTGATATATTGGTGGTGATATTTTCCATATTTCTATTGCCACCTGTCTTAGACTGGGTTCTCTAGAGAAGCAAAACCAGTAAAGCATATAAAATATATATATAGAGAGAGAGATTTACATCAAGAAAATGGCTCACGCAGTTGTAGAGGCTGGAATGTCTCAAGTCCGTGGGTCGGGAGAGAGGCTTCTCCGACTCAGGTAGCCTCAGGGGCTGGCGAACCCAAGATCGGCAGGTCAGAAAGCAAGGCTCTTACTCACAGGCTGCGAAGATCAACGAATCCCAAGATGGGCAGGCAAGACCACAGGCAAGCTGCTAGCTCAAGTCCCAAGAACTGGACGTCAGACGAACAGGAGCCAGCTGTGGAATCTGGCGCAAGCAAAAAGCCCCCAAACTCTGCCATAATGTCCACTTATATTCAATGCAGGCCACATGTCCAAGGAAATTCCCTTTCAACTGACCGCCTACTCACAAGAGATTCCATCATGGGGGTGATCACATATCAAATCTCAACAAGGAAATGATCACAACATTACATGACTGCCAAAACACTGAGAATCATGGCCCAGCCAACTTGACACACAATCTTAACCATCATACCACCTCACACCATGGATTAGCAGTGCCCTTTTTACTACTGGAAGTGGTGTCATTTACATCTTTAAGACTAATCAGACTTGAGAACCAATTTTTAGAAAACTCATCCTTACAATTTTACTTCTCTAGATTCACTCTTGGTACCAAATGTCTTAGGCTGGGTTCTCTAAAGAAGCAAAACCAGTGAACTGTGTGTGAATGTATATATATATAAAGAGAGAGAGAGAGAGAAACAGAAAGACAGAGAGAGATTTATATCAAGTAAATGGCTCACAAAGTTGTAGAGGCTGGAAAGTCCCAAGTGCGTGGGTCAGGTGTCAGGCTGGAGGCTTCTGACTCACACGGCTGCAGGGGCCAACAAACCCAAGACTGGCAGGTCAGATGGCAGGCTGCTAGACCTAACGAAGATTGGCAGGTAAGATGGCAGGGTGCTGGCCCACAGGCTGCAGAGGCTGATGAATCCCAGCATCATCAGCAGGCAATATGGCAAGCCACTGGCTCAAGTCTCAAGAACCAGAGGTCAGATGATGACAGATGCAGGATCCAGAATGAGCAAAAGCCAGCAAGCTTTGCCAGAACGTCCATAAATACTGGATGCAGGCCACACCCCCACAGAAACGCGCCTTAAACTGATTGATTACATAATGGAGATGATTACATTATATCACAAAATGGAGGGTAACTACCTCACTACATAACTGCCAAATCACTGAGAATCATGGCCCAGCCAAGGTGACACACAATCTTAATTATCACGGTATTCAAATAGCAAAGTTTGTTTAAAACAGCAGGAAGGGAGAAACAGTGTGACTTTTAAAGACAAAACTACCATGCTTGCTTGCGTAAGTCATGTTAAAGATAGCTTCTCAAATTATAACGTGGAAATTAATTTACTTAATAGGGAAAATAAATGGCATAGGAATCAACTGAAAACTCACTTAATATATAAATATCTTCCTTACAGACAACTTTTAAGAATGCATTATTAGCCCTTCATCCCTTTTTATGAGTTTATTCTACATAAAGATACGTTAGCATAAAAAAAGATACAGACATATATAGGATATCAACTGCTACATAGTTTAAGGAAAAAAGTAATTAACTTGAGTAAATTACGATGCATAAACAAAATGGAATGTTTTACACCTACTCCTCACTTATCGACTATCTCATTATCAGACATTCTGCACTTGTGACAATAGTAAAAAATCTACTATCTATTTTGTGCATTAATGACGTACGTTTGGTAGTAACAAATGCTGAGGTGTGAAGCGAGAGTAACACTGGTTTTGGTGGTTAAGGTTATGTGTCAGCTTGGCTGGGCCATGATCCTCAGTGGTTTGGCAATTATGTAAGGATGTAATCGCGCAGTTATGCAACGATGTAGTCATCTTCCGTTTTGTGATCTGATGTGGTCATCCTCCATTTTTGCATAACACTGATTTTCGCCTAACGACCTGATCTTTGGAACCTAACCATGTCAGTTAAGTGAGGAGTGGGTATATAATCATTAAAAAGAATGTGGTAGATCTGAGTTGATATGTAAAGATCAAATTTCATTAAGTATAACAAGCAAAGTACAGAATAACATGAATGGCATGATCCCATCTGTAAATGCAAATTTAAATACAGAAAACACATCTATCCATCCAGCCCTCCATCTAAATGCATCCATCCAACTACCTACGTGAATAAAAAGCTTCTACAAGAACAAATAAGAATTGTTAACAATCACGACATTTAGGAATGAGACTAGGAATTGGGAGAAGGGGAGGGAGACTTTGAATTTTATGCTTTTTGCTTTTACCAAGTAGGTCTTCTATTAAAAATAAAAATGAGAAGGAAAGAAGAAAAGACTATGTTACTGGAACTGCTTTTCTCTACTGGTTGCATTTCTACTCAATGGATCTTCTATGAAAATAAAAGGAAAAAATAAAGAAAAGAATGTTATTGGTATAAGCGATACTATAAGCCACTAGCAAAAATGACCTACCTTCTGTGTATCTATATCTTGTCTCATGACTCCCATGTCTTTATTTATGTTTTCTTTTTGTTTCTCGCATTCAGTTAGTTGAGTCATTACTTTATTAAGTTCAGTTTCTTTTTGCTACAAAAAAGAAAACCCTTTAAGCACACGGGAATAAAAAATATAACCAAATAAATAATTTTGAGTTTTAAATTACCTTCTTATAGTTGTCTTTCCCATCTTGAATATAATTCTCAATGTCCTTCACATAGCCATGAATATTTTTAACCTTCTCTTTGATATCATTCAGCTGTGGAAAAATATTTATTGAATTTATACTGACTGGGATCAGGGCATTTAAGATTATTTCCAAGGAAATGATCTTACATTAAAGTAAAAAAAAAAAAAAAAAACAAACTTTATAGGAGAACACAGTGAAATGCTGAATTACAAGTTAAGAGCCTTGGGTTTCAGTTTATACCACCACCAAATTTTATGATCTCAGGCAAGTCCCTTTATCACCTATGGGACTGGATTAAATAGTCTCAATTCTTCTATTTTAAACCAAAAAGCAAAATATTTTAAGTTTAATCCTTATTCTAATGTCCAAATTATATCACAAATCTTAAAAATACTATTTATCTTAAAATTTTACTTAATTTCATGTGAAATAATAGTGTCCAACACAGTGTTATGAACATAAGAATTAATATGTTTAATATATATTTGATAAGTAAATATATAAATGAAATCTTACTTTATCCTGCGCAATTCTGTTGCTTGTATTTTTTTTGTTGATTAATTCTTCTTTATCCTGCTGAAACTTTTCCAATGTTGTTTCCAAAGGGCGTACTTGCTCTTTAGCATCCTAAAAATATAAAAAAAATAAAGTCTTGTATCATTCCATCATTTTAAGTAGCAGACTTTATAGTCATAACAAAAGTACTTACTAATGTGCCATGCTTAAAAATCAACTCATGTGCTTCTTCCAACAACATTATAAGGAAGGTACCATTATCTTCATCTCCATATTTCAGATGATCAAACAGTCACAGAGAATACTTGTCCAGGGTCACAAGAGCCAGTAAATGAAGCAGCCAAGATTCAAACCTAGGTCTAGCTTGAGTCCACTTTCTTAACCACCATGCTATCCTGCCTTAGCCACTGACATGATTCTTAATCTAGGCGACCTGCTTCTGACTGTATTAGCATGTGGCTTCAGACATGAGTTTGCAGAGACCCATGTCAGTGCTGTGTGATCAAAGAACAGGAGAGCTCATTCAGTCCAGGTCTCTGTTTTACAGATGGGAAAATGATGATAAGACACATTTGTCCTTAAGCTCAGTTTGCTAAGGCTAAGCAGATATCTTACGGTAATAAAACTGTACTGGTACCTTGATGTTGGTGTGTCCACATTTTGGAAGGAAGGGGGCTTTCAAATAACAAATTATTCTACTAATCAGAAGCCCCCATTATTTGGCCTTGTAACAGCCCGACAGCATAGTTATGTGATAACCACTGTTCAAAACAATGATCTTCAAACACTTTAAGATCCTGAAACAGCTATCAAATCCATAAAGGTAGATACAGTCATATTTAGCATTACTTCAATGTAGGTGTACTTTTTTCATAATGGGAAGTGGTATGGTGTGGTGGGAAGTCAAATGTCTTAGGCATCAGAAGACACACCTGAAAACTATCCTCCTCTTATAAGCTGCATGAACTTGGGCATGGCGCAGCTGTGAGTTTCCATTTCTTTTTCTATAAAAAGGTGACAGAGTCACCTATCTCAACAGGGTTGCTGAGATAATGAATGGTTTAATATCAATGTGCTTTATAGACAGTAAAAAATTACAGAAGGTAGTACTTTATCATACTTTAAGCCACTGATAATTTGTAATCCAAAAACATTTAATAAATTCTTACAGTAATTATTTTTAAAACAATTTATTTTATTTTGGTTGTTAAAAATATACACAGCAGAACATACACCAATTCAACAATTTCTACACGTACAACTCAGTGACACTGATTTCATTCTTCAAGTAGTGCAACCATTCTCGCCTTCTTTTTCTGTGTTGTTCTCCCCCATTAAACTCTATGGGGCAGTTCTACTCTGTCCTATAGGGTCACTACGAGTCGGAATAAACTCCAGGACAATGGGTTTTCTCCCCCATTAACATAAACTCATTGCCCCCAACTAAGCTTACTATCTAACCTTTCAAGTTGTTGTCAAATTGATCCCATATAGTTTTTTTTTGCCTCCTAAATTTTATCTTGTTGTTGTTGTTTACAGAAATTGCTGATAGAGATTCAGTAACATATTTAGCACTTACTGAATGAGTGTGTATAATTATGAAACCCTAGATAAGACTGTTGTTTCTAAAACTGTTCATAAATTTAATTGACTGAGTCTTAAATTTGATTAATCAAGATAAGGGATGGCAAATGATACCATTCCATGTCTAAACTCAGTGCCTGCTCCCTGTATTGGGAAAGATTCTGAGACTCTATCTGGAATCAAATGGGAAGAGTGCTATGATTGAGAGGCAGTGTCTGCTATGGATACAGAATTTGTAGATAAGCGAAAAGACCAATATAAACAAGAATCCTATGTGGAGCTAACCAGCAAATTAACCTGACCACCCCAAATAACATAAGTTCACTACTTAACCAGGTAACTAGTTCTTCCTTATCATGGCCAAAATCCTTCTACCAGAAACCTTTACCCATTAGTACAAGTTCTGTCACTCTGCAGCCACACAAAGTATTATTGTATCATTCTCCTTTGATCCTCACAATGACCACAGTTCTAGTTATTAAACCAATAAAGAGCATCTCACATATTTCATCTAATTTAATAAACAAACGTACGTGAATGTTCTTACCTTTATCTCTCTATATAAGGACTGAACTTCAGTGGATAATTCCACAGTCTGTTCCTCCAGCTGCTGACGACGCTGCAAATTGGTGGATATCTGAAGCTTCTCTGATTTCAGTTCATTTGTTGTACTTTTTAGGTGTTGAATCTGTTCCTGCTGGTCCTGTATAAGCTTACGATTCAATTCAATCTTACCAGAAACTGCACAAAAACATATTGACAAAATGATTAATGTAAAGATAACAGAAAATACCATGAGTAGCATCCTTCCAGTTTTTATAGGTCTATGGAATCCACAAAGGCTGAGTTTCTGTGGATCCCACCCACTGCAACATAAGTGTAACAAGAACCTCTCGAGCCTCCAAACCTCCCAGCTGTCCCATCCTATCCTCTCCTGGCCACTCAGAGGGGAAAGGCTCAGAGAGCAGGTATGGCTGAGAAAGAATACAGCCCATCTGACACTCTTCCATCATTCAACTGTTGTGCAAAGCACAGAAACAAACAGAAGTAATGCTTTTGAGCAAACAGAGTGACAGAGTGAATGTACTGTTGACTGGAAGAAAGACAATTTATAGTAATAAGTATGTACTGCGAATGCTGAAGTCATTATGGGTACATGAGGAAATAGACTGTATTACCTGTATCTAATTTATGTTGTTTTTCTTGTTTTTCCTGGTTTACTTGTTGAACAGTTCGATCTAAGTCTATTCCTTGTAGCTTAGCTGCTTGTTGTGCAATCTTTCTTTCAACATCTTTAAGTTCCATCTTAAGAATATAAAAAAGTTATTTTCTTTGAGAAACTTAGTACATTATCATTATTCAAAATCTTTAGAGATTGTTATTATGAATTGTTTTTAAAAATCTAAAGTTGTAACTGTTTCCAGATACAATTTTAGCAAAGTTTAATAGGATAAAAATGAAATTAATTTTTAGTAATTCAAATAATGTAAACAAAAGGAAGCAGACTAAAAGTGAAAAACAAACAAAATTATTTCTTACCTCCCATAATTTGAGAATAAAAAAACTTAAGCTCAGGAATGAAAACTAAGCAATTGCTCTCTGAGACCACCTGAAATTCATGAAGAGGAAACTCTAAACAAAATCTGTACCTAAGTACTACCTACTTACTCTAACACTTTCCCATTCAAATCACTATGGAACAAATTTCTTTTTTTTTTTTTTCGCCTTGAACTACAATAAACTTACCTGCAACCTCTCCATAATTGTAATATCTGTCAGACATACTTTAGCACTTTCCTCTTCAGGCATTATGGTACCCAAGAGTGTTTCCTGTTCCTCTATGTCATTCTTCAGACGCTGTATGTCTCTATTGACATTCTGCAGTTTGTTTCTCAGTTCCGGTATTTCCTTCTCCTTCAAATCAACTATGCTTTGCCTTAACAGAAAATATGCAATTAAAAATCAGCTATCTGATGTTTTCTCACAGTTAGATTGAGGTTATACATTTTTGGCAAGAATACGATAGAAGTGACGTTGCATCCTTCTCAGGGCATGGTATCAGCAGGTAATTGATGTCAGTATGTCTTATTACTGGTGATGTTAATCTTATACACCTGGTTAAAGTGGTGTCCACCAGCTTTGCCCATTGTAAAGTTACTATTTTTCTCTTTGTAATTAATAAATATCTTAGGAGAGATACTTTGAGACTTTGCAAATATCCTATTTCTCCTCAAACTTTTGCCATAGATTTTAGCATCTATTAGATTTTGCTTGCAATAATCCTTCCTATGCTGCTTGTCAAACTAAGAGATATTCTACAAATTAATGGACCATACTCATCAAAAATGTCAAGGTATGAATGACAAAGAAAGACTGAGGAGCTGTTACTGATTGCAGGAGCTCAAGAAGAAATAACAACTAAATGCAATGCTGGATCCTAGACTGGATCTTGAAACAGAAAAAAGGACATCAATAGAAAAACTGGTGAAATGTGAGTAAGGTCTGTAGTTTAGTTAACAGTATTATACCTATAATTAATTTTCCTGGTTTTGGTGATTGTATTATGGTTACATAAATTGTTAACATTAGGAGAAACTAGGTGAAGAATATACATGAATTCTCTGTACAGTTTTTCCTGTAAGTCTTCAAAACAAAAAAATAAAAGGTCATAAAAGGAGAGAGGAAGAAGGAAGGGAGGAAGGAAGGAACCTACTCAGATAAATGCTACTTTGGTTTAAGGCACAAAAACTGGAAACCTGTTTACCTTGCTACCCTAGCTAATGAATTACCTCTTCTGTGGCAGGTGGTCCCACACTTCTTTTGTTGATACTTCTGAAGCAAAAAAAAACTTATTTAATCTTTAAACTATCAATAAGTTTATTCTGTAAAAACTCCAAATTCTTATTTAAAATTAAATTTATATAATAAATTAAATTGGTCTGATAAATTAGTCTCTGATGGACATCTTGTAATAAATGAGAGAAAAACTGGAAACCAAAGGGTTAGCTCTTTCATACTATTACTTAATGATTAAAAAAAAGAAGTCTATATTATGACGAAGAAATGACAACCTGAACCAGTCGGTGGCAATGTAACATCTATAATTTTTTAAACAGAAATGAAATTTCACAGAGTAAATATGAAGGATGCAGGTTATGAGCAATTTCATGCTCACACTGTTGTTGTCGTTAGGTGCCGTCAAGTCAGTTCTGATTCATAGCCACCCTATGAACAGCAGAAGAAAACACCGCCCGGTCCTGCGCCATCCTCACAATCGTTGTTATGCTTGAGCCCACTGTTGCAGCCACTGTGTCAATCCATCTAGTTGAGGGTCTTCCTCTGTTTCGCTGACCCAGTATTTTACCAAGCATGATGTCCTTCTCCAGGGACTGATCTCTCCTGACAATATGTCCAAAGTATGTGAGATGTAGTTCTCACCATCCTTGCTTCTAAGGAGCATTCTGGTTTGTACTTCTTCCAAGAAAAACCTGTTCCTTCTTTTGGCAGTTCGTGGTATATTCAATATTCTTCTCCAATACCACAATTCAAAGGCATCAATTCTTCTTCTGTCTTACTAATTGTCCAGCTTTCACATGCATATGAGGCAACTGAAAACACCATGGCTTGGGTCACGCGCACCTTAGTCCTCAAGGTGACATCTTTGTTTTTCAACACTTTAAAGAGGTCTTTTGCAGCCGATTTGCCCAATGCAATGCGTCTTTTGATTTCTTGACTGCTGCTTCCATGGGTGTTGACTGTGGATCCAAGTAAAATGAAATCCTTGACAACTTCAATCTTTTCTCCATTTATCATGATGTTGCTTACTGGGCCAGTTGTGAGGATTTTCATTTTCTTTATGTTGAGGTGTAATTCATACTGTGGTCTTCAATCGTCATCAGTAAGTGCTTCAAGTCGTGGTCTTCACTTTCAGCAAGCAAGGTTGAGTCATCTGCATAATGTAGGTTGTTAATGTCTTCCTCCAGTCTTGATGCCCCGTTCTTCTTCATAGTCCAGCCTCTCGGAATATTTGCTTAGAATACGGATTGAATAGGTATGGTGAAAGGATACAACCCTGACTTTAAACCACAAAGTATCCCCTTGTTCTGTCTGAACAAATGCCTCTTGATCTACGTACAGGTTCCTCATGAGGACAATTAAGCGTTCTGGAATTCCCATTCTTTGCAGTGTTATCCACAATTTGTTAAGATCCACACAGTCGAATGCCTTACCACAGTCAACAAAACACAGGTAAACATCTTTCTGGTATTCACTGCTTTCAGCTAGGATCCATCTGACATCAGCAATGGTATCCCTGGTTCCATGTCCTTGTCTGAATTCAGCCTGAATTTCTGGCAGTTCCCTGTCAACATTCTGCTGCAGCCACTTTTGAATGATCTTCAGCAAAATTTTACTTGCATGTGATAATGATATTGTTTGATAATTTCTGAATTCGGTTGGATCACCTTTCTTGGGAATCAGCATAAATATGAATCTCTCCCAGTCAGTTGGCCAGGTAGCTGTCTTCCAAATTTCTTGGCCTAGATGAGTGAGCACTTCCAGTACGGCATTCGTTTGTTGAAACATCTAAATTGATATTCCGTCAATTCCTGGAGCCTTGTTCTTCACCAGTGCCATCAGTGCAGCTTGGACTTCTTCCTTCACTACCATCGGTTCCTGATCATATGCTACCTCCTGAAATGGCTGAACGTCAACCAACTCTTTTCTGTATAATGACCCTGTGTATTCCTTCCATCTTCTTTTGATGTTTCCTGCATCATTTAATATTTTCCCCATAGAATCCTTCACTATTGCAACTTGAGGCTTGACTTTTTCGTCAGTTCTTTCACAGCCTGAGAAATGCCAAGCTTGTTCTTCCCTTTTGGTTTTCTATCTTCAGCTCTTTGCACATGTCATTATAATACTTTACTTTGTCTTCTCGAGCCGCCCTTTGAAATCTTTTGTTCTGTTCTTTTACTTCATCCTTTCTTCCTTTTGCTTTAGCTACTCAATGTTCAACAGCAAGTTTCAGAATCTCTTCTGGTATCCATTTTGGTCTTTTCTTTCTTTCCTGTCTTTTTAATGACCTCTTGCTTTCTTTATGTATGATGTCCTTGATGTCATTCCACAGCTCGCCTGGTCTTCGGTCACTGGTGTTCAACGCATCAAATCTATTCTTGAGATGGTCTCTAAATTCAGGTGGAATATACTCAAGGTCATACTTAGGCCCTCGTGGACTTGTTCTAATTTTCTTCAGTTTCAGCATGAACTTGCATATGAGCAACTGATGGTCTGTTCTGCTCTCGGCCCTTGGCCATGTTCTGACTGATGATATTGAGCTTTTCCATCGTCTCTTTCCACAGATGTCGTCAATTTGATTGCTGTGTATTCCCTCTGGCGAGGTCTATGTGTACAGTCGCCACTTATGTTAGTGAAAAACGGTGTTTGCAATGAAGAAGTCATTGGTCTTGCAAAATTCTATCACGGTCTCATTACTTCCTGAATACTGTGGTCATAGACCTAGAAAGTGACCACAGCTATGATGGCTCAGTGACAGTCAAACATTCACTTAGGAATTACAGGGCTGGGGGCACCTTTAGGGAGAACTATAGCCATCCTTGGGCCATGGTGGCACAGTGGTTAAAGCACTCGGCTGCCAACCAAAAGGTCTGCAGTTCGAAACCACCAGCTGCTCTGTGGGAGAAAGATGTGGCTGTCTGCTTCCGTAAAGATTTATAGCCTTAGAAATCCTATGGGGCAGCTCTATTCTGTCCTATAGGATTGAATAGACCTGACAGCAATGGATTTTGGTTTTTTATAGGCATCCTTACAATTTTAAACTTATTTTTACCTTTTCATTAAAAAAAAAAAAAACTTCATCAATATGGTCCAAATTTTGCTGCCCTCTTTTTGAATGATTATCTAAGATGCTACAAATAAGTGTCTAAGAAAAAGAATAGAAACTTCCAGAGAGAATGGGCTTTTAAAATCTATTAGGGTTTTGTTTTTCAGAAACTCAATTCACCTATTTTTGTGACAGCATTCTTTCTCTAAGGAAATTGTATGTAAAATGACTCAACATAAATGATACTGAAAAAAAAACTTTGGGAGGAACAGGGGAAAATACTGAGTTTTTACCTAAGTGAGGTATTACAATACATGAACCTGAGTCAGAGGTAGACAAAATGATAAACATGTATATTTTCAGCTGAGATCTCATTCACTATGGTGGTCTCATATTAAGTATTGTTAAGTTTAGGGCTTTAAATGAAAATATCTCATCTTCTACCACTTTCCCCTTTGGCCTTCAGGCCAAACGTGCCTCAGGGACTTTGTACTGCCTAGAATGCTCTTCTCCCGGACAATTGCATGGCTGGCTCCCTTACCTCTCTGAGGTTTCTGTTCCAACGCCACCTTTACAACAACTCCATTATCTCCATCCCTCAGGCATTCCGTATTTCCTTACCTTGCTGCCTGCCTTACTATCATCATCTGACATAATGTATGTTTACTTGTTTGTTACTTGTCTCTCCGCTGCCCGCCCCCCACCGCCACCCTACTGAAGCATGAGGGCAGACCATCTACTTTGTTTACTGTTGTATTACCAGCACCCCAGCAGAGGCCTATTAAGTAAATATTGGTTGAATGAACAGACAGTTCTCATGACAGTGTTGGCACCAACGCTATATTTTACAGGTGAAAAGACAAATGGTACATTGATAAATATAACCTTCCTTGTTACTTACCCCCTTCACCAATAATAACCCTCCTCTGAGTAACTTTCATAAATAGACCTGTATACTATCTCTGATAGTGACCCCAAGGGATGTATGACAGCAGTGAGCTACACTACAACCAGAGTTGGAAGGAAGCTTAATGATCATCGAAGTCAACCCCCTCATTTTACATGGGGGAAACTTAGGCCCAGATGAGTTAAGTGACATGCCTAAGGTCACTAGCAGAGCTTGAATTAGAAATCAGACTGTACATCTAGGCTACTGCTTGTCCACTTAAAAAAAAAAGTTCTCTGTTATTAATTCATTATTGTTATTAATTCATTATTCATATTCATTTGTGGGAGGAAGGAGTGGGAGGGGAGGAAGGGGGAGGAGGGAAAGAGAACTCATGCGAGCAGAAAGCCACAGTGCTTTATACAACCTAAGTTTGAAAGGGACATGCCATCACTTCTGTTGTATTCTATTGGTTATACAGATCAATCCTGGAACAATGTGGAAGGAGATTATACAAGAAAGTATAAGTATCAAGAGGGAAGGATGATTGGGGGCCATCTCGGAGGCTGGCAACCACAAAGCACTTCTTAGACCCTGAAACTTCTTGGTTTTTCAAGACAACATACTCTCCTGGTTTTTCTGTTTCTAGGCTTTTTCTCACCCTGATCCATTCAAGTTAATTATTTTAAAACACATCTTTCATCAAATCTCTTAGGATAAATCCTCATCACCTATCACAGACAGCAGGCCTGAACACAATGTGGCCCTATCCTCCTAACTTATGAGAATCAATTCCTACATATCATTTACCCAAACTCCAGGTAACATTTCTACTGCAGCATAGGTCCTGCTCCCTTTCCTTCTGCACACACTGGTCTGATTTCCTCCTCCTAACTTAGCTGGACCAACTTCTCTAGGCTTTATATTCCACTTTCTCCTTCATTCTGAAAGTCCTTCTCATTCTGCAGCCCACTGGCCTCTCTCTTCTTAACTAATGTATTTGTTTGTGCCAATTACGCACTTCATTAAGCTTAGCTTTTGAAACGTCTAATTCTGAGAGCTTATCTCCTTAAAAGACCATTAGCTTCCTGAGGGTCATGTTTTATTGGTCTCTGTGACCAGCCTTGTGCTCTCTGTTCTGGGAGACACCAAGGTAATTATTATGTACTTCCTGCTTGATTTTGTTTATAAATAGATCACCATCTAAATTTCTTGTACAAATGAGGGTAAATATAAACAACAAAAATCATCTAGGATTCATTCTTTTTGAAAGGGGAAAAGACATAAAAATATAGTTTAAAATGTGTCTTTTGGGAGAGTTTTTCAGTACTTTAATTCTTCTGCTAGGTTTAGAAGTGATATTATCAGCAAATAGTTCTAAACGTCAAAATGTACGCCCTCAAGACAAGTCTCAGGAATTAAACAAACATAAGACTTTATCTGCTCCATGACTAGTTTATGAAACAAGCTTGCCTTTAAACAAAATAACTGTTTCTTCTTATCATATAACTAACAACATGGGATACAGCATATTGGCTCAGAATCCTGACTTTAATTTTTAATCATTCGGCACAATCTTACTGAATACCTACCATATGCCAGGCATTGAATGGGTACAGTAACAATAAATCTCTATTCTCACCTCATGGGCACAAGTCCCAACATGTCATCACGCCGCTTTTCTTTTTTCTTTAGCTCTGATTCTGTTGATTTAAGTTTATCTGGAGCAAGCCGCAACTTAGATTGCAAATCACTGATGACTTCTTGTAATTCAGTCTCTGTCTGAAAAACTCTCTGACAGACAGGGCAACACGACTGGTTTTCATCAGTTAGCTGAGTAATGAATTGGGAGTAAACTGCCGTGGCTCCAGCCAACATGGCTATTTTAAGAAAAAAAATATACCTCCAGTGAGAATATAAAGTTTTGTCAATATGGTTACAACATTTTCTGTAAATACATGATTATTCTTCTTGTTTTACAAACAATTTATAAAAGAAATAAAAATTCTGATATTTAAATCCTCTTCCAAAAGGTACAATACACTCAAATTTGTACAAATTATTTTTGTTAACACACACAAAGTATAACAAAATTCAACATTTGAGAGCTTACTATGTGCCAGGCACTGTTTAAGGGCTTTACACCTATAATCTCATTCACTCCTCCCTAGTGCCTAGAGAAGTGGTTAAGAGCTCAGGCTGCTAACCAAAAGGTCAGCAGTTCAAATCCACCAGCCGCTCCTTCGAAACACTATGGGGCAGTTCTACTCTGTCCTATAGTGTCACTATGAGTCGGAATCAACTCGATGGCACACAACAACAACACTGCCTTGAAAACCAAACCAGCTGCCATCAAGCTGATGCCATCTCATGGTGACCCCATATGTGTCAGAGTGGAGAACTGCGCTCCACAGCGTTTTTGATGGCTAATTTTTCAGAGGTAGATTACCAGGCTTTTCTTCCAAGGTGCCTCTGGGTGGACTGGAACCTCCAACCTTTCAATTAGCAGCTGAGCACGCTAATTATCTGCACCATTCAGGGACTCCCTAATGCCTTGGGTGGTAGGTAATATTCTCCTCATTTTACACATGATGAACCTGAAGAATAGAAAGGTTTCAATAACTTGCCCAAAGTCACACAGCAAGTAAGTCATGGAACCGTAAGTGAAACTCAAGCCATCTGGCTCTAAAAAAAGGTTTTTACATCTTCATCCTTAATAGCTACCTGTGAATGAAAATTCAAGTGTGTCAAAGTACTTTGGCAATGTAAAGTAGGTAACTTACCTCGCTGTTTTGAGGATTTTTCAATTTCCTCTTTAAGCCTGTCTAAATCACTTTCAAAATCCTGGCTACCACAAACATCAAACAGCTTGTCTTCGTAACTGGATAACTGCTCTTCCTTTCTTTTTAGCTCATTATTTATATGATTTTTATTTTGCTCAGCTGAAGCTAGTTCTTTGCTAAAATAAGAACAAACATGTATTATAATTTTAGAAGAGGAAATGAGCTTGAAAAGTTTGAATAGGTAGATACAAGACAAATTCGGCCAACAAATATTACAAAGGTTTGCTATAGTCAAATACTTTCTTTAGAAGTCATGGCAATAGAACACTTCCACCTTAACTCTCCCCCTAGGATACTGACTCGCCTGCCAACCCTGGTCATGGGCCTGCTCTCAGAAAATAGTGCACAGGCAAAATTCTGCCTGGTTTCTGGGGGTTCATGGTCTTAGATCCCAGGCTGAGAACGTTAGCAAGAAGATACTTGCTGGGTCTACTGGAGAGAAGAAAGAAGTAGAACATTCTCCTAATTCCTTCTGGTCCCTTTTACAATATTACTTCCCTGCCCTCCTATAAAAACTTTTTTTTTTTTGTCCCCTCCTTGTTACTGTCATCTACTTACCTCCTGATCACTCATTCCCTCTCATTCATCAAAAACTTCGCTCACTAGTACAATTTATCTCTGTTCCAACTCTTAGCATCATCCTAGCCAACCACGTGCCCACACCCCACACAGACGAAGGTTTTTCAATTTGCAGGTTTATGATACACAAGCAAGTCATGTGGTTAATTTAATGCACCATACTCAGCATGTTTTAAAAAATGAAACAGAATAGAATGTAATATATTAAAGTAGACTGTACACAGTAAGGATAGGTACTATTTTGAGAAATTTGTTTCAGATAAATGTGTGTGTGTGTGAGTACATGTAATCTTCATCACGATTCTTCCCACTGTGAGTCACAGTAAAAATGTGGAAGAAAGTAACTGATATAGACAATACTTTCACCATCCTAGCCTCCATTAAGCACTGCTCTCATCAAGGGCACCAACAACCTAAGTGCCAAGTGCAGTCTTCATCTTACTCAACTTCTTAGCAGTACCAAATGTTCTTGACCCCATCCTTGAAGGACTATCTTCCCAAGGTACCCCTGACACCACTGCTGTCTGGCTGATACCCTGGCCCCTTGGGCATGTCCCAGTTTCCTTCCCTTGCTCCTCTTCTTTGCCTGCCACCATTTTAAATGTCAGTGTCTCCCAGGGATCTGACTGTAACTCCTTAACTTCTCTTTGCATATCCCCCTCAAGGTGACACGGAGCTCTGGTAGCACAGTGGTTAAGAGCTCAACTGCTAACCAAAAGGTCGGCAGTTTGAATCCACCAGCCACTCCTTGGAAACTCTTCGGAGCAGTTCTACTCTGTCCTATAGGGTCACTATGAGTCGGAATCAACTCAAAGGCAGTAAGTGGGTTAAGGTGACAGAGCCTAGACTAATGCCTTCCATTATCACTTATATAGCAAAACTCCCAATCTCTTAACTTCCAACTCCAGCATTCTACTCCCTAACAGATATTTCCATAAGAAATACAAATTTAACAAGGCCAAAGCCAAACCTGCTATCTTCCTCAAAAATCTGTACAGGAATTTTGACCCTCTTATCCAAGCACCACTCAAGGTGACAACAGCGAAAAAAGGATTACTCACACAAATGAAAAGAGAACTTCAGAATTTTCATCCTCTTGCTTAGGTCTGTAAAACTTTCAAGGGACAAGAGGCCTAAATCACTACCCATTACCGTTTTACTTAACTTGTAAAGTATAGGAGAACTAAAGTCAATTAACAAGACATACCACTTCATGACAATAAATGATTTTAAAACAATTAAAAATGAAAGCATGAAATAAGAGATTTGTATTACATCTCCAAATATTGCAACTACTTACTTTAATTTCGCAAGTCTGTCCCTGGTCTGATTAATTTCTTTTGATTTACTATGAAGCCAGTCTTCAAGCTGTTTTTTATTGGGAAAATACCCCAACAATGAAGTTAATTCATCACTGTGCCTAGATTTTATTTTTCTGATTTGTTCATCTTTGTCAGCCTGTAGGTAAAAAAAAAAATCTTTTAAAAATAAAGTCTGGTATCTCCACAATATATGAAGAACAAAAATAAATGCTAGATTGATTAAAGTTCTAGGCTTAAAAAGGACAACTCTAAAAATGCAAGAAAAAAAAAGTCATACTTTGTCTTTGGTCAGCATCTCCATTTGGGTGCGTGTTGTGGTATGATGGTTTAACTGCTCCATCTCCTGGTCCAATTTACGCAGGGTCCTATCTAGGTCTGCTTTCTCATTTTGAAGGCTTATTACTTCTGTTTTTAGGGTTTCTACACTGCTGTTTTTCTCAGCCTTGCTTAGCTCACGTTCCTAATTAATAATTCAAACAAATGCACAGGTTTATATATTTTGTGTAAGAATTAATGACAAAATATAGTACAAATCAACTGCCCCTGAGAACAGTCAAAATATTATTGTTTGCTTTTAGCTAGTTAGAGAAAAAACATAATGTGCTATATATGTTTTAAGGAAAATCTAAATTATCAAGATGGGATTTGAGAAGGGGATTTGCCAATTTTTAGGGTGAATACTTTGGTAGTAGAGATGTGAGGGGAGAGGACAAGTCAGAAGGAATGAAGAAGAGAAAATTTGGAAATTCTTAGAAAGAAGAGATGGGCTAAGAAAGTTCCTACTACAGAAAATGTCATAGCATGGCAATAATCATATAAAATCTAGAGTGTGTAGATTTCAAGGGAAAATATTTGCTTTTTTACTTAGGTAAGTGGTGCTTAACCAAGGTGTTCATAGCATAAAAACCAAAGTCTATTGCTATCAACTCGATTCTGACTCATAGCAACCCAAAAGGACAGAGGAGAACACCCCCATAGGGGGTGTAATCTTTACAGAAGCAGACTGCCACATCTTTCCTCTGCAGAGCAGCTGGCAGGGCAAACCATCGACCTTTCAGTTAGCAGCTGAGCACTCAACCACTGTACCAGGGCTCCTTTACATTTAATTAGGTTCCCCTGTAGTATGTTCTCCATATGGCAGTAGGAGTCAACACAAATCTAATCACAGTATAGCTGTTCATAGCATAGGTGTTTTTAAAAAACTCCCTAGGTGAACAACTACCACGGCCTCTGCCAGACTAAGTCCAGTGCAACTAGATGGTGCCCAGCTACCAACACTGACTGCTGACAGGGATCACAATAGAGGGTCCTGGACAGAGCTGGAGAAAAATGTAGAACAAAATTCTAACTCAAAAAAAGACCAGACTTACTGGCCTGACAGAGACTGGAGAAACCCCGAGAGTATGGCCCCTGGAAACCCTTTTAGCTCAGTAATGAAATCATTCCGGAAGTTCACCTTTTAGCTAAACATTAGACAGGCCCATAAGACAAAATAAGACTAAAGGGCACACCAGCCCAGGGGCAAGCACTAGAAGGCAGAAGGGGACAGGAAAGCTGGTAATAGGGAACCCAGGGTTGAGAAGGGAGAGTACTGACATGTCACAGGGTTGTTAACCAATGTCACAAAACAATATACATATACTAACTGTTTAATGAGAAGCTAGTTTGTTCTGTAAACCTTCACTGAAAGTACAATTAAAAAAAAAGTTCCCTAGGTGATTCTGATGGTCAACTCAACAGCTTCAAGAACACGAGTTGAACGATCAAGATATTTATATGATGTCATTTAATATGATTGATAAACAAGGTTGACATTTTTATTAAAATGCCATAATCTTAGGATTAGCAATAGATAAAACATTAGAATGCAAGATTCTAAATATCTTACATCTTAAAATTATTAGATTACTCAAATAATATCTTACAGCTTTTGTGAGTTCCTGGTCCAGTTCAAGAATCCTGTCTGAAGATCCTTCCAACTGCTGTAATTCATATTTCACATTTTTCAGCTCATTCTGCTTCTTACTTAGGATTTCTGATTTCAGCTCAATCATTCTTCCCAGTCCAATTTTCTTATCCCTTATTTCATCTATCTGTTTTTGTTTCAGAGTCTCTTTTTCTGCAAAGTCATTCTAAACACACACATAAAAAATTTAGAGCATAAACGATTTCTTACTATTTATTTAGAAAAAATTTCTTCATTGTAAAAGTAACACATGTCCACTGAGGAAAACGCAGAAAAGTATTAAAAAAAAGACCATCACCCACAGAAAAAATTTATTAACTTTGAGCAAACATTTAGCTTTAAAAAGAAATTTTACTTAAAAACCAAATAAAAAGTACAGATCTGCAGTTTCTTTGTATTTTCATCCTTACAATTTAAAAATTTTGCTTCCATGTTTTTTTTCTAGCTCATAGCAGATTCTACTCTATCACTAATCTAAAACTATGCCAAAATAGGGTCCACCTGAAAATTAAACTAATTCAACTAGAGAATCTGACAGCAACAAAAGAAAACAACAAACACTGTTTATTTCAAAATATTTACCATCAGTTGGTTGGCAGTTTCTACTTCCCTTTCTTGTCTTTCCCTCACAAGTTTGTGAAAATTTTTAATCTGTCTTTCACTGAATGGTCCACGCTCAAAGCCATCCAATTCCAGCTGTGTTGCCAAGGACCGAATTAATGAATCTCTAGCTCGGATATGTTCTTGATAGCGATCTGCTTGTAGCTGTAGACGACCTTTAAAAATCATGACAATAACTCTTTTTTTAAGCTGATTTTTAAAAATTGAGGTAATTATAGATTCACATGCAGTTTTAAGAAATAATACAAAGATCCCTTGTACACTTTGCCCAGTTTCCCTCTATGGTAACATCTGTAAGATAGTATCACAACAGGATATTGACATACAATCCACAAATCTTATTCAGTTTCCCTAGTTTTACTTGTACTCATTTGTATGTATGCATTAAGTTCTATATAATTTTATCACCTGCATAGGCTCATGTAGCCAAATGACAGTCAAGATACTAAACAGTTCTAATATCACAAGAATCCCTCTTACTGACTTTTAAAACCTAACTACACTCACCTCTCTCCCCCCTCCCACCCCACTTCCTACTTCTAGCAACCACTAACTTGCCCTCCATTTCTAAAATTTTGTTATTTCAAAATGTTACATAAATGAAATCATCCTGTATGTAACCTTTTTCACTCAGCATACTTCCCTGGATATTCATCACTCATTCAGAAAATGCATAATTATTACAGCAGGAAAAAAGGCCAGTAAATGCTCTGTCCCACCCTGTTCAACAAGTAGTTCTGATTTTTCTTGATTGAGCAGCCTAGATTCTTTATTTAATTTTTCCAGTTCACGCTGACAGTCTACCAGCCTCCTCTCTTTCTCTCTTACTGTTCTCTGGTGATTATGATACAAATCATTTAGCTGCTCATCAGTCCCTTGAAAAACCTGGATAAAATCAAAATAAAAAGCTTTAATGTATAGATATAAGAAGATCAGATCACTTTGAGGTAGGAAATATGAACCAAACTTTATTCAATATCCTTAATTTCAACACACACATAGACGTAACACAAGCACCAAGATCTCTCTTTGTTTTTTCATAATGTGTGTAGCAAATCTGAGGTTCACTGTAACTCCAAATTTTTGAAGAACAAAATTTTACTGCCACAAACCTTTTCCATTTTCTGTTCCAGTTCACTATTGTCTTTCTCCATTTGCTTCTTTCTGCTCTCCAAGGCTTTTATTTCATTGTCAAGTCTCATTATTTTAGAGAGATTTTGTTCAATTTCTTTTAGACGATTCTGAAAATAAACAAACATTCTGCATAAGTAAAACTCACTATAGTTTACACTGCAGATGGATGAATAGAAATAAAATGTGCCAGGGCCAGGCCCTTAGTAAAAGTGAAATAAAATGTGCCAGGGCCAGGCACTTAGTAAAAGTGATCTCATTTAATGCTAACAACAATGCTGTAAAAAAGGCATAGAGAAACTGAGGATCAGAGACATTAAGTAACTTGCCTAAGACTTCACGGCTATTAAGAAAAAAACGAATTAAATTCCAGTTCTAACTCCAAAGCCCATGCCCTGCCCTCAACACTTCCCACAAAAGTCATTCATTCAGTGGGCACTCAGAGCCACACTACATGAAGAACCACATTTTAAGAGCTTAATCCTTAAAAGACTTTATTTAAAAGATTAGAGACATTAAGTGGGCTAGAAATTCATGGTGGGTCACTAGTGCATTCTGGGCCTATAGGCAAATTTACATGGGAGATTACATCTTAATCCAAAATTTGCTTGAGCACAAGTGAAGCATGAGAAGCGATGTCAGCTGCCTGTTTCCTCTGACAGTGACAGTTGGACACCTCATCTCCTGAGTACATGTGACCTGGTTTAGAGCATTCTCTTCTTGGATGATGCTGGGAATACTCTTCCAGTGTTTGCTTTGCAATTCGTTTTATGTTTTAAGGCTGACCAACTCCCCTTCTAAGACATTTTAAGAGTTTAATTTTTAAACTAACATGTTACACTTAAGATACTAGAGTGCTTAGATATCAACTGCATCCTTAATTTTAATGCTATTTAAAATTAGATTTTAAATAAAATGGTTATACTAATACCCTTCCTTGTGATTTGTAAGCTAATGAATAGTACGTAGTCACCATGAAAACAGGAATTTTGTTTACTCTGTTCACTAATATATCCCCAGTACACGTAACAGATGCTCAAAAAATATTAGCAGAAGGAAAGAATAAGAGGTTTGAAAAAAGTAATTTTGCCAGTATTAACAGTTACAGCTATCACTGATTGTCTACTATGTGCCAGACACTGTATTGGGTGCTGACATACATTCTCTTTAATCCTTACAAGAACCTCATGCTAAGTTGTTGTTGTTAGGTGTCATCGAGTCGGTTCCAACTCACAGCGACCCTACAGGACAGAGCAGAGCTGCCCCATAAGGTTTCCAAGGAGTGGCTGGGGGATTTGAACTGCTGACCTTTAGGTTAGCAGCTGAGCTCTTAACCGCTACGCCACCAGGGTTCCTATGGGAGACTTTAAAAAAAAAAAGAAAAAAAAAAAACCCTAATCTGCTGCCATAGAGTTGACTGTGACTCAGAGACCCTAGAGGACAGAGTAGAACTGTCCCACAAGGTTTCCAAAGAGCGTCTGGTAGATTCGAACTGCTGACCTTTTGGTTAGCAGCCAAACTCTTAAACACTGGGCCACCAGCTATTAAGTCAGAAATAGGAGACTTAGAAGACTTAAGTGACTTGTACAAAACCACATACTCAAGACTGGGAGGCAGGATAGCGTAATAGTTAGGACTGTAAGTGAGCTCCGGGTACTGGATCAATTGGACATCTGCGTGCAAAAAAAGTAAGTCTCAAACTTTACCTCGTACCATATTCAAAAATAAACTGAAATGGAGCATAGATTTAAATGTAAGAGCTAAAACTATAAAATTTCTAGAAGAAAACACAGCAGAAAATCTTTGTGACCTTGGTTGGGTTAGGCAAAGATTTCTTAGCTAGGAAACAAAAACATAAACCATAAGAAAAAAAAAAAAAAAAGGAATAAACTGAACTTCATCAAAATAAAAAACTTCTGCCCTGTGAAAAACAATTAAGAAGTCTTACAACTAACTGAGAAAAAGACAAATAACCCAATTAAAGAATAGGCAAAGAATCTGAATAGACATTTCTCTAAGGAAGGTATACACATGGCCAATAACCACAAGAAAAGATGCTCAACATCATTAGTATTCAGGGAAATGCAAATCAAAACCACAATGAGATACCACTTCACACCCACTGGGATGGATATAAATCAAAAAGACAAAATAACAAGTGTAGGTGGGGATATGGAAAAATTGGAATTGTCACATCCTGGTAAGAACGTAAAAAGGGGCAGCTGCTCTGGAAAACAGATAGGCAGTTTCTCAAAAGGTTAAAAATAGAGGTATCATATGACCCAGCAATTTCACTCCTAGGCATATTATACCCAAGAGAAATGAAATCATATGCTTATATAAAAACTTGTACAGGAATGTTCACAGCAGCATTACTCATAATAGCCAAAAAGTAGGAACAACTCAAATGTCCACCAACTGAAGAATGGATAAATAAAATGTGGCTGGAATATTATTCAGCCATAAAAGGAATGAAGTACTGACATGCTACAACACTGATGAACCTTGAAAATATTGTGCTAAGTGAAAGAAGTAAATCACAAAAATGATTCCATTTATATGAAATGTCTAGAAGAGGCAAATTCAGAGACAGAAAGCAGATTTTGTGATTGCCTAGGGCTGGGGACTGAGAAAGAATGGATAGTGACTATTAACGGGTATAGGGTTTCTTTTTAGAAATCAAAAATGTTCTAAAATTAGATTGTGGTAATGGCTGCTTAACTCTTGACTATACTAAAAAGCTGAATTGCACATTTTAAATGGGTGAATTGTATGATATGTGAATTGTATTGTATCGTAATGGTGTTTAAAAAAAAACGATGGCCATACATACTCATGTATCACAAGGGCCTCAGCGAGGAGGCAGGGCTGAGGTGGACCTTAAAGAATGGATAGAAATCAAGGTGATACAGTAGGAAGCATTTTATATATGTGTGTATTTGTTTTGCATTTTTTTCTTTAAAAGTAATATGTGCTAACAGTGAAAAAATTAAAGAAAGATACTAGGTGAAAAATAGAAGATACTCTTCCCATTCCTAATCTCTGACCTCTGACCTCTTGAGAGTACATCCTTCCAGCAGCTTTTTTTTTTTGGCGGGGGAGGGAGGCACACATATATAATACATACATATATACAAATATTTATGTGCATATATTCACACATACAAGCTTACCAGAACAGAACTGTGTAAGGAAGAACCTGGATTAAGAATCAGTGTAAAAGGGGTGAGAAATAAGAACTGGTGTCAGATTATGGACCCCTAATAGGTTTGGGACTTAGTTCAACAGATAAAAGACTGGCAAAGTATGTTATGTTTTAGGATGAGTTATCCTGATTACTGTGTGTAGGTACTGTCATGGTTACCAACATATTAGGATGTATTTTCTTTTCTTGAGAAGCAGTCTGGTCGGAGAGACGATAAGCACAGAAGAAGGTAAGGGCTGTAGGAGCTCTGAAGAGGAAGACAGAATTTCTGTCTGAGGTAGCCTGAAGGATTTTATACGACTGAATTTAAGGTATGATTTTGTTGATCATGAATAGCAAGGACATTAAACCAAAAAAACCAAAGCCCAATGCTGTCAAGTCAATTCCGACCCATAGCAACCCTACAGGACTGAGTAGAACTGCACCATAGGGTTTCCAAGGAGCAGCTGGTGGATTCTAACTGCCAACCTTTTTGGTTAGCAGCCGTAGCACTTAACCACTACGCCACCAGGGCTCCAGGTAGGTCACTAGGAACAGTAAAAAGCAAGCTGTCTTTGAACACTATCAAGGAAATTCATATAGTTGAAATGGAGTTTGCAGAAGAAATAATGTCAAGGTGGGGCTAAGTGATAATATGTAGTATTTATCCAATGGTGCCAGGATTCTAACCAAGGCGGTAGCACTTTGAAGTTTAAAATGTTTGTCTATTTATTTGTGTTTAATTGTGACTAGTTCCCTAAGGACTTAAGCTAACTCTTCTCTGTATCCTTAGAGACTATCCAGTGCACAGCACATAGCATGTAATTCAATAAATATTTACTAAGTGGATGATTTCCAAAGTCCTTTTCTAGCTTCAACAAACGAGGATTCTTTCCTTCACAGAAATCAACATAAAGTTTGGGTCAAATCACCTTCCCATCAGTTGTCCAGAAAAGACTGCTTAATTTCAAGCACCGTACTATAATGTAAGCTTTCCTTTTTTTACAGTTTCCCTCCATCTTCAAGAATTCTCTCATAAACTATTCCCATCCTACCATGCCCTCCACACCTGTCAAAGTTTGTTATACTATGGTGGCTTGCACGTTGCTATGTGTCATGGATTGAGTCATGTCTCCCAAAAATATTTGTCAGCTTGGCTGGGTCATGATTCCCTGTGTTGTGTGACTGTGTAATCTGTTGTGACTTCCTTATATGTTGTAAACTCTATCACTATGATGAGGTTATACATGATCTCCTTGTGTGTTGTAAATTCTATCACTGTGGTAAGGTTATGCTAATGAGGTATACAAGACTGGATAGTGTCTTAAGCCAATCTCTTTTGAGATATAAAAGAGAGAAGTGAGCAGAGACACAGGGGAACCTCATACCACCAAGAAAGCAGTGCCGGGAGCAGAGCGCTTCCTTTGGACCTGATGTTCCTGCGCAGAGAAGCTCCCAGACCAAGGAAAGACTGATTTATCACAAGGACCTTTCTCCAGAGCCGACAGAGAGAGAAAGCCTTCTCCTGGAGCTGATGCCCTGAATTTGGACTTGTAGCCTACTGAACTGTTAGAGAATAAACATCTCTTTGTTAGAGCCATCCACTTGTGGTATTTCTGTTGGAGCAGTACTAGATGACTAAGACACTATGTCACCAGTTTTCAAATACTAGCAGGGTCACTCATGGTGGACAGGTCTTAGCGAAACTTCCAGACTAAGAAACTATGAAGAAAGGCCCGGCAATATACTTCCGAAAATTAGCCAACGAAACCTTATAGATAACAACAAAATACTGTCCAACATAGTGCTGGAAGACGGGCCCCCTAGGTTGAAAGGCACTACACAAGAGCCACAACAATGGACTCAAAAGTACCAACGATAATGAAGATGGCAAAGGACTACGCATTGTTTCATTACGTTGTACAT